AGTTTCCTTTCTTGGAAAGAGGTCTGAGTTCAAACCTCAGTGGAAGTAATATATATTTGCAGTTCTAGAACATTTGTAACTGTCTATTTCATTATCAATTAAAAGTTAGTTTAACCTTCATTTTATAGTTGTGTTGAATTGAGATTTGTTAAAAGAGCAAAACTAAGCACATTCCTTACTTTCCATTATTTAGTCTTGTTCCATTCATTTCATTCATTATCCTCTTTTCATTAACATCATTTTCTTTCCTCAAACAACACATCACATTTAAGTATTTGTCACTGAAATCAAATTATTGGAACTACAAAACTGATAATAGGACAGTCAATTTTTTTTTAAAGTTATGGCTTATGCGAAGCAAAAGTTAATTAATAGTATCTTTGTAGTTTTATAAAGCAGGAAATGTGCGATAATTTAAGAAAAAAAATCAAGACACTAAACATATGAAACTTACAACATAATGTGTCTTGTTTGCATAAATTTAATGTGTTGTTGACTTAATAATTGAATTTATCAGATTTCTTCTAAATTATTTGGGACGTTTATGGTAAGTATGGTGAGACAGTTCATTTTTAGAACTTCTACAATGTATCATGGAAATCCATTAGGTATGATTATATATTTTTTAAAACCTTTAATGATGGCATAATAATAAATTTTAGCTTTCAAACTTCTTGTGAGTTTTATTTTTATGCAATAAAATTTTGTAAGGTTTTTGTGTAATTGGAAGGAAATTATAACTGATTTTGTTTCTGATAATCATTATTATCTACATGATCAATGTTATTGCAACATGTGGTTGCCATGCATATATATTGAGGAAATGGAAGTATATAAAGTTAGCAAAATAGACCACTGTTGACAGTGATATTACCAGAACTTTATATAAGGTAAGATATAGGTTATTCCGATACCTGTAGACAATTTAAGAATGAGTTGCTCTCTAAACTGTGACATCAAGTGCTCGAACTGGGATAACATTGTCAGCAATGGTATCCTGCTTGAACAACGTTACCACAGTTATATAACACGAAGGGTGATTTATCACATTTACCTTAACCTTCATCACTACCCACACAAGTATCATTGTTGTATACTTCCTGCTATATTCTAGCTAGCTTTACATGTTTCAGTGTAATACCACAGATTGTGTTGCATTTCATTTTTGTATGTAAGCATGTTTTTCCTACTGAACATTTTACCAATAACTGCTACCCATGAACCTATTGTGTATAATGACACAAAAGTATATTTTGCATATTACTCTGCAGTGGGGGTGGGGGAAGGGAGGTGTTGTGTTAAGGGTATGTATGGTACAATCTGTGATATCATAGTGGTGCGGTGCTTACATATTGGTGGTTGGTGGTAAGTGATATATCAGTAGTTTAAAAATAACAATTTCCTAACATTTAATTGGAGTTTTTAGTAATATTTTTTCTCATTATTTATTCTTAATTATTAATTTATGAAAATCTGATTTACGTGTAGCTGTAGATTTAGCTTTTATCTAATGTCATCTTCCTTGGTGGTGGTTTTGATATGTATGTATACTTTTTGTGGGATTTGGTTTTGTTTGGTGTTTTGTATTCCCTGATTTTCAGAAAAAAGTAAGTGTCATTTGTGTGTATTGTAACTCCTTTTTACATTGGATCTATAACTGGCCTGCTATCATTTCATTTCTGTTTTAACAATTTCATGTAATTCAATCCAATAAATCAAGACATATTGCATATTAACAATTTATCATTTATTCAGTGCCTATTATTATATCTACATGTTGTGTGTTTCTTTTTTTCACTGTGCATTAATATGTCAACTGTGCTTGCTTTTTTTCTTTTAATGGCTTTTTTCCTTAAAAGTTCACTCATTTTTATTATTGTACGCAAATGATTTATTTTACGGTCTTTTTTAAAAAATTTAAATCTGAATCGATAACGAATACAGTTTCTTAACAACTCAGTTAATTTAGCAGAAAGTAATTGTTACACATTTTATTAATAATGAGACACAATTGAGTAAAATACAGATTCATTTTGTTTTTTATGTTATGTATATATGGTAACAATAATCTGCTGCTGTTTTTTTAAGAATACAATATTATAGGTGTTATTGATGAATTCTTGGTATGTCTTAGGTAAATAATGATTTCAACTTCGTCCCTCTAATTTATTATCAGACCTTTTTGTGTAACTTAGTCAAATAAAATTCATTTCAACTTAGATTAACGTTAAAATTATAACTTTGCATAATAACTTTACAGCCTTCTTCATCATTAACTTCGTTCTTTTATCTGCATAACTTGATATAGTCGCGGCGCTGTTTCAAGTGCCTTGACAATATTCTCAAGCAGACTTGCAATTGTAAAATCTAAATATAAAAAAGTAAGGTACATTGAATTATATACCCAGTGCTTTGATGCAATCCGGGATCTAACGATATCTCAGCCAGTGAATACAACCAAGCTACACAAAAAAACTTCTGCCCTCAAAACGTCAGCAACAACAAACCAGCATTTCTTTTCAACTGGTAAAGCTGGACAGGCTGTGCCCCAAATACAGTTTTCCCTAGATCGGCTGCGATCTATTAGGGTTCAGACCACAGCCAGTGGAGACAGCCTAGTTACTACTAGAACACCAGTAACTTCTGCTCCACAAACACCTGTTCCAGAAACACCAGCAACTACAAGCCAGCAGTCCCTTTCACAAGGTATAATATGATAATAAGATTGAAAATATAATCATTGTTGATATCAGGAAATCAATAATGCTATAAATTGAGGGCTCAGATAGAAAAATGTTTAATTATATAAATTGATGAAAATATGAAAAAGAATACCACTAACATTAAGTTGAACAACTACTGCTTTGTTTAGGCAGGTTTCATCTACATGGTAATGCTCAACTATTTTCCGGAAAATAATTTATTTTGAACATAATACGTGAAGCTGATAATACCTGTAAGCAGTTTTATTTATTTATTTTTTTTTTTATTTATTTGATTTCTAATGTGGTAAATTTTTAGTGTTTGGTTCATTGACATGTCTGTCTTACAGGTATGATTTATTGTCTCTTTTTAGGGGATGAAAAACCTCTGACCAAGAAGTGGAAGAAGACACTTCCAGCTGTGGACCAAGGTGGGATTTCAAAAACTTTTTTCCATTATGCAACTAGGGGTCCACAGTTTGACTTTGACAGGGTGATCAAGCTATGGTGATCCTCCTCAGCCCAGGTTATCAACAGGTAATGATTTATTCATGAATTTAAAATCTTCTAGGTTTGAAGCTGTCACTATCAATGTAATTGATACTAGTATAAGTTTAATAGATATCTCCAATTTTCATTGTACAATGGAGCACTATGTGTCAAGTGTGTTTAGAGTTACGCGTCAGTGTGTTTAGACTATGTTCTTGGATACGGCATGGTATGCAATTTAAAACACTGACGTTAGTCATTAAATATCTTAAGATTCAGTCTTCATTTCAAGTTTTGATTTTTGTTACTACAAAACAATTGCATTTAACTTGCATTATTTTCTTGTATACATATCTTAGTATCAATAAAACAACCATAATTGACAAACAAGGCATTATTCAGCAATGTTTTATTTGTGCTTTAATTTTAGGCACTCTTAACAAACAGGAGTGTTTCTTTGGGCACCGGCTGTTTGTTTGAATGCCACGACACCTGTTTCACTACCAGTTCACCTGCCCTCACTCTGGATGTCAAGGAACCTTGGTGAATAATGGTGTTCACCAGAAGACACGTTTGGTACTTGATGTCCATGACTATTATATAATTATTGGGGAGGACTATGAATGCAGCAAGTGCAAACAAAGGGTGAGCATAAAGCTAAAATGCAAAGCTTGTATAAGAAATGTTACATACATAGAAACTCATTGCAATGACAGCACAGACCGGTCAACTCTCGGCTTTGTGTTTCTCTGGTAGCTGATGGCTGGCCTGTCTGTGCTGCCATTGGTTGTTTCCTTGGGCAAGACACTTTACCGTAATTACTTTGGATGACATTTGACGGGCCTCCGGCATATTTTTCAGTGTGGTAGTCACCAACTACTCCAAGGAGACCCCGCCTCAAAATGACACTGGCTGTTCACAGGGAGACGAACACAAAACAAGCAAACAAATTATTACAGTTCCTCTGTATACTATAAAATCTTAAAAGTCATATTGGATAATGGATTCTAATCTCAAATTTGTTGTTTTAACTCATTGCCTCCTACTGACGCCTATACGCGTTGTGTTTACCTTCTCCTCATTCCCGACTGTCGCGTAAAAGCGACATCGCCTTTATTGATTGTATTGCCGAGAGTCGCTTTGAAGCGACAATTTCGATTGGTTCAGAGAGTCTGTTACGACGGCTTTGATTGGCTAAACGTGACCTATAAACCTGAATAATAATATTATATGGGAAGTTTCCATTCGTTATACAGTCACATGATTCTGGAAGTCGAGCGAAATTTAGAGGAATTTACTACGAAAAGGCACTCACATGGAACGGCGAGTAAACATGGCCGCCGGTAGTACTTTCAATTTTGATAACAGCTCCGACGAGTCGGAATTCGAAGGATTTACAGCCGATGACATTGCCATAGCTATTCAGAAAGGTGCAAGAATTACGTGCAGTAAACCCAGAAGATATATCGGACATATCTGACATCAGTTTCAGTGACTATTCGTCGAGTGAAAGCGAACATGGAAGTGAAAGTGACAAAAATGACGAACCATTGCAGTGGTCCGAAAATACTTCGCCGATTATTATACCCCAGTTTTCTGAGACGGTCGGCCCAACAACAGTATTAGACGTCAACAAGAACGAGTTGGACTTTCTTTCTTTGATATTTTCGCAAGATTTGTACGCCGTCAGTGGAGGAAATGAAAGCGTTTTTGGGCATACGGATCTACATGTCCATTTTACATCTACCTTCACTGGATATGTACTGGTCCACTGATTCTGTTTTTGGCAATTTATTTATTCCTAACATCATGCCTAGAGACAGATTTGATAAACTGTCACAATATTTTCATGTAAATGACTCCACTACCAACTTGCCTAGAGATGATCCAGGATATGACAGGTTACACCATGTCAGACCGGTGTTGGACATTGTGAAGAAAAAATGTTTGGAGAATTATAAGCCACATCAAAACACCAGTGTTGATGAAGCAATGATTGCTTTTAGAGGACGCCTAGGATTTCGTCAGTATCTTCCCGCTAAGCCAACAAATTATGGGGTGAAAGTGTGGATGAGGGCAGATTCTGAAAATGGCTATGCCAATGACATTGATGTGTACACAGGGAAAAAGGGGGATGAGCATAATGCTCAGTATGGACTAACCACCCGAGTCGTTCTAAACCTAACCCAGGACATTGCAAACAAGAACCACATTGTCAACATTGACAATTATTTCACAAGCTATCAACTGTTTGAAGTTTTGAAACAGAACTGGACCTATGCTCGGGGAACCGCGAGATCAAATAGAAAGGGCTTTCCTTCTTCTCTTCTCCACCCCAAATGTGTAAAAAATCAAGGGGACATAAAGATAGTACAGAAAGGGAAGACTGCTGCATATGCGTGGAAGGACAAAAAAAACATCTTCTTCCTATCGACCGCAGATGACCCAACAGAAAACGCAGGGCAGGTAAAACGGCGGCAGAAAGATGGAACGCAGCGACAAGTCCCGAGTCCTGGAGTTGTGGAGAAATATAATATCAAGATGAATGGGGTCGATAGGTCAGATCAAACCAGGACAGCCTATCCGACTTACCGCATGTGCAAAAGATGGTGGACGTACATCTTTTTCTTTCTGCTGGATCTTTCCATTTCAAACGCTTTCATCCTGATGAAAGAATCACCCAATCACAGGTTGATGACTAAGACCGGTAAAGATAAAGACAGGTCTCTCCTAAGCTTTCGCATGAATTTGTCAAAACAATTACTTGGAACATACAGGGCAACAAGAAAAAGGAGGCGAGTGTCAAATGTTGACCCATTTGGAGGTGGACATTGGCCTAAAGAGAGTGAGAAGAAAGGGAGATGTCGTCGGTGTTCAAAGGACAAAAAGCGGTCGGATGTGAAGTGGGAATGTACTGGATGTGGTGCCCATCTGTGTGTTTTCTGCTTTGAAAAATATCATAGGGGATCAGAATTTAATTGGCAGTGTACATAATCATTAACAGTTGTGTTATATTTACATTTAAATGACAAACTTTAAAAACAAAACAGTTGATTTCAATAATTCAATTTCATTTTTGGGATTTATCGAAAAAAAAACCAAGAAAATCAAGGTATGTTCATTCTTTTATTTCATGGTTTTACATAGTTTCAGATATTTACAACAACTTTTATTCTTCATGCAATAACAAAAAACCAACATAAATGTATGAAAATCTCATTTTAATATGTGAGATGGAAATTCTTGGGTGGCGGCCATATTGGCTCAGGGAGGAGGCTGCTGTAGCAATCAAAGATGCTACAGGAAGTGAGTAGCAAACATGGCTGCAGGGGTCAACGAGTTAAGTCATAAGCTGGAATCAGAAAAAAGAAAATTTCCTTGCATCTTGACTGAAAGGTACGCTTGTGATCCGAGGGTTGTCAGGATGATGCGTCAGAGGACACTTGGCAACAGCAGTAGTCTAGTCTTCAAACATATACTTTTATACTAGTGTTGGGAATTGGTTGAAATTTCCTGATCGATCATCAACTTTGTGTAATCGATCGATGAATTCTTAATTGTCTGTTTTGGATATAATTCAAGTCTAAATACGTATTTTGTGTAATGTTTTAACAGCAATTCAGGTAATTACTAAAACTGTTGTACCTATACCATCTTTCTGTGTTTGTTATTTGCTTATTGCACAGAACACTTTTTAATAAAAACAACTGTTGTTCTATTTCTTAATAATTTTACTCTTGTTGAAAATAATTTCAATATTTAAATACTTTATTTTCATATTTCATGATGATCGATTACAGATTCTTTACTCGATTAATTGATCAGACATCTCAAACAAGTGATACTCGATTAACTCAATTAGTCAGAACAACACTATTATACACATTTATCAATTGTTAATTTGGCTTCAAATTATGTTTTTAATGCTAATAATATCATTGTTAAACAGGTATCAATTTCCCTCCCTTATTATAATATTGTGTTGACATTTTTCTGCTGCTAACATAGGCTTATATTCCATAGATTTCAGAAAATCATGGGGAGTCCTATTTGGATAAGTGTCGCCAATATGCTACCAATTTCATGGAATTTAAAAAGTCTTCAGACAGAGGATTGGTCGCCATCCCTGCTTTTGTAGAGCCACCTCCAGCAATAGATATTCAAAGATTCCGTTGGTTCACAAAAGTGTACCAGCTTGATGTCATCTCCAGATTGGAATATGAGCTGGCCGAGCTGACATCAATCACAGGTGATATCCTGAAAATTGATTCGACCAAGAAAATCACAAATAATCTTGCAGGTAAGCAACCATACCACCATTGATTTTCCATTACATGATGCTGAAATAACTGATATAAAAATTACTCAAGCATAATAGATAGTTATTAGGGCTTTCCTGCGACAGTGGAAAAACCTCTTAGTTTTGTTTTATTATTTTTTTCTTACAGGTTTTTACAAGTTGACATTGACATTAAAGGAATTCATTTTATACATGGAAAGCCTGTCTTTGCTTTAGTTTTATAATTGTTTTCGTAGTTTGTTAGGCTAGTCAAGATTAGTGCACTGATATACAGTATTGAAATTGGATGATTTATATTTCAGGTTCAAGTAGAGGCACAGCAATGTGGGCCACCAATGTGGGTAATGAGCATGGTCAGATCCTCATGTCAGTGCTCACTGAAGGGGAAGGGGAAGGGTTGATGAAGATGCTGGATGGCATTGTAGCAAGATATAGAAATGCTGGTGTTTCCCCACCTAAAGTGTTGTACACTGATAGGGATTGCTGTGGCTGGCAGTGTGTGAAGAAGTACTTTGATGCCTGGCCATTTCTTCACGTGAGGTATGTAGTCTGTGACACATCATATTTGTTGGTCTTAAAGTACATTTTAGGTCATATTTTTATGATTGTTTTAGTGTTGTAATGACAGCACAGTGACATTGGTAGATCATGTACCAGCTTCTACCTAGAGTTCATCAAAGATACCTGATCCACACAAGTATGTCCCTCCTAGAACATACCTGTTGGTAGTAGATTTTTAACTTTCCCTGTTGAAACTCTAAATAATTGGATCACATATTTTCCAGCATAATTACACAATAGTAGAATTGACATGGTACAATGTATTCAGTTTTGATTTTAAATGATATCATTTCAGACTCGACTCATGGCACTTTATGCGCCGAATCCCCAATGGATGTACCACAGATAAGCATAAACTCTATGGCGTACGTTTATGTTCCAATAATCTTACTAAACATAAAGTCAATGTTTTTGTCACGTTCTGTTTGAAGATTGAAATAGTTCATAGTTTTGTAATTCATCCAGTCTGACATATAGAGTTAGTAATTTAATTTCCATTTACATCAGATTCATGATTAAAGTTTGATTACATAGCTTTTATATAAAGTATTAATGTCATAAATGTGATAAAAAGGGAAACAAATTCTATCTATAATATACATGTAGTATCCAGAAAGGCAGAAATAATAGAAAATAATGAAAAACAGTTTGTTTTCCACTTATTTCCATATCGTTTGGCAGTTTGGCTTTATTTTGGATATTTATATCAAATTTATATAAATATATGATTTTCAGGTCTGTGGTCCAGACAATGTACCTGGATATGACAAAGTCATAAATTTGGCGGAGTTCCTGGTGTCTTTGCGTGATGGGAAATCATTAAGTCTCCGTAAAGCACAGGAGCTGATCCATTTGTGGGATCAATTATCAAGCTACGACCAGAAAAGGACAGTATTCCCAAGGAGGTTTACCAAAAAACCATGGTCAGGGAAATTTGGTGGGCGAGGGAAACATGTCACGCCAGGAGTGGAGAGCGTCACTAAGTAAGTACAAACATAAATCCTTTTTCGGCTGCCCATGTACGTCTTGGTTCAGAGATAACTGTTTTGCCCTTTTTTCTATTTGTCGGTCCATTGTTTCAAGGATTTTTGTAAGCCAATAAGGGTTGAATTCCGATGATTTTGTGTACAAGTCTGTCTTTTGGTCTAACATGTATCCTGTTGAGTTCAACAGAGTATGTTAAGAATGTTGATAGAAATCTGTTGGTGTTGTTTGCTAAATTAGAATCAAGCGATTAAGATTTTGTGAATGTTATTGCCATGTTATTTCCTGACCTACACTTTCATAAAAAAAAATTCAATATTATTACCAGTTACATAACACTTACTTTTTCTGGAAGCAAACAATTTTGGAACTTCAGAAATTATATCTAGTTTATCCAAAAGTAAGTTCTTTTATTACATGTATACAGATTTTATCATTTTCTCTATTTCAGAGTTCTCCTAGGACCCAACAAAGGTCCAGCACAGAGGCCCAACTGCAACAGGTACACCGAGGCAACTTTTGAGCGTCTGTTGCAGATTTTTCCTGGAGACCAGAGGTGTGAGGTCCATGTATGGACCAGGTGGCGTCTTGTCCTCAGGGCGTATCACAATATCCAGGAGGTTATTGTGAAATCACAGCCAGCCATGGAGAGGACAGACATACAGCTGCCTCTGTTGAACAAAAAACCTCTTCAACAATGGTAAGTAGAACCAATGTCGGTACTTAGATGATTTAAATGACAGAGCTTTGCAGGCAAACATATTGCGTGCCTTCAGCCTTTATTATCATTTTGTTAAGTACTTTTGAGTAAGGTGTCTGTAAATCTTGTTGCATTCCTGTAACACAAGAAGTTTATTTGTTTGTGAAGTTGCATCTGAGGTGTTATTATCTGTGCATTTTACAAATATGATTTAAGTGACCATGATTTAACATTTGTATTTTAAAGGTATAATAAGGAGGACAAACAAAAGGAGTAAAAGATCCTGCTGCAGGGCATCAACATGCCCAAACCAACAATAACAGTAAGTGGCTTACCACCGGCCCGCCAGAAGCCAGCAGAGCTTCCATCGAGTGAGGCACCAAAGTTCGAATTTCCAAACCCATGTACTGCTGGCCAAGCGCCAAAGAAGACCAGCCGGAAGAGGAAAATCACCTGCCTCTCTCCCTGTATCTCCTGTGTCAGCACCACTCTCTCCAGCACACCCCACACCAGCAGTGATCAGGCATCCTGCTTTGTTGGCTCAGGATAATCTTTACATCATTTTAAGACCTCCAGCACCAAATTCATCATCAACAATTCGGCGCAGATATAAAACTCCTGACTTTGTTAAATGCAATAAATGTGGTGGCAACAGGAAAAATTCAACCACACACAGATCATATATGTTTAAAATTCATTGTGAAGAAACTGAAATGTTTTTCATTTGAAGAATGGAGGGCAGAAGTGAAGTCCAAAATGGATGGAGAGAGGCAGCTAAAGAAGAAAAAGATAGAGTACAAATTTCAATACCAACAACTGTAATTGCAGACTGACTAAAAGATGTGTTTCGGACAATTTAATATAACAAAAACAAATTTTAATGCTGCCTTGTGTCTTTTGTCTCATATGTACACTTTCAAGGACAATGTGACAAAATGGAGACACAAGATGGTTCCAAGCCCTTGAAAAAGCAGAGGAAAATTTGGATTTTGCAAATTTTAATGTTTGAAGGCAAGTATATCTATATAACCTCTTCAATAAATATCTTTTTTAATGTGAAAATATATGAAAATCACCATTTTAGCATGAAATTCTATATATTCAATACCATTTTAGTTTCCAAACATTTAAATTTTGACCAAAATGGTATAAAAACTTAAAACAAGCTTTTTCATCATTGCAGTGCTAAAGCCCCTTGTGCCTTTGATTTTTTTTCATAGTTGCTCAGTACAGTCTTGTGAGCACCTCACTTAGCTCTTGATTTCACTCACAAGTCGTGGTTTGATTGACCAATCACAACCACAGAACCAGAGTTGGTCAGCCAATCACAACCACCGAATAAGAAGTTCAACTACATAGTAGCCAGCTTCACACAGCATCCGCCATTCTTTTGTTGGCACATCACCCAAGTGTTCAGAAAGCGATTTCAACTTGTTTTGATCAAAGTCA